TGTGTTAGTGCAGACATGGGTAAATGAGCAGGTGAGGTTGATCTTCAGTTGCAATGAATAGGCAGAGAGATTATGTCATATACGTACCAGACAGAGGAAAAACTTTCCACACTGACAGTGCTCATGAGACCTGATATTAAGCATTTGCATCTCAGCTGAGAAGAGACACAGTTTGATTTTTAGTTCTGCTCAGAAATACCACTGGTCAAAGCATAGTAGAGCTGCAGGAGAGACCTTAGGACCCTGTGGTGGTTTTAATCTAGGCCTTCCCTGGTTACCAGTTTGTAACCGAGGAAGGGGCAGTGTTCCCAGTATTCCATACGATTTTTAAGTAAATTGTGGTATAAATAAGAAGGGAGGAGAAGCCTTCACTCTCTCTTCTCTTCTACCGAAGTTCGGGAACAGTGGGTCCCTGCATTGGTCTTGCTTATCTAAGGTTGAGGCCTGCAGCATCCACTGACCTGCCACGTGGAAGCTTGGAGAGTGCTGGCCATGTCTGCCAATCCTGCTTTCTAAGGGACGTGGTGAGATTTGTTTTACTAGTTATTTTACTAGTTCTCGGGTTTGATTGCACATATCTATTCGGTATCCCTTTTTGTTTCCTTTTGTCCCTTTTTTTCCCCTTTCCCTATCCCTTCGGGGGGTGTTTGGATTCAAGTTTGCTGTGTACATAGCACCTTAACTGTAATATACATGAAATATATTTTTTATATAACTAGCTTGGTTTTCGGGTTCTTCAGCACTGGGGGAAGTAGAAAGGGGGGGAAGAGAGGGACTGCTACTGGAGGGTTGGGCATTTGGCAGGGAGCCAAGTCCAAACCATCACAGACCCCTTACAGCTTGGGACCCCTTTTACACACTCCTGCCTGACACCAAACTTGTGTGTTTTCACAAGCACTTTGGAGAGCAAACATTTAGATAGGTGCTCTGACTATAAAGGGAGGTAAAAAACCAGGTCTTTAATGTAGAATTTAGTATTTCTAATACTAAAAGGGAAGTATCTTCTACTAACATAGGCCATTGTTTCATTGCTGCATTGTACAGCCCATACAATGCTGTATATACCAGCAACTCCCAGGACTTTCACCCTCAGTATGGTTTCTCCTATCCATCTTGGCAGAGTGTACCAAGCATAAACCATGCATGTACCTACTGCTCTCAGTTACATTTTATCTCAGCTGCTCCACTTCAGCTCCCATTCTCATTGCCCTCAAACACACAGTGCCCAGGTGGCCTAAGGAGTCCCTGGCTGAGGATTGGAATCCCTGGCCAGCCCAGGAGCACCACAGTGCAAAAGCCATCCCTCTACATGTGATCAGGAATGTCACCTTAAGTGTCATTGCAATGTACAGGTGAGCAGGAGTTTTCCTACTGAATTCAACTATACCTTCTTTTGATCTTTAGAGCATGCTCACTACAGTGATGTGACTACTGGAAGGAGCAAGGTAAGAGATAACATGCCATTGGTGAAGGAGAGAGCTTAATACAACTGGAAATGTGCAAAGGTCCAAAGACTAAACGATCTCAGTTTCAGGGGTGCAAACCAGAATGCCTTATTGAACATTTGATTCGCAATATAAGGGTCTGGGGGGCGGGACATGCTAATGAAGAGGACGGGTTATGCTAACTAAGGGATTACACAACGTTCGGTTACAGTTACTCAAACTGTTTAACATTCTCCTGCAGGGAAGAACCACCTGGGGGCAGAAAACAAAGGGGTTTTTACACGTCTGACAGCATCACCACAAAGTCCGCCCATATCTTGCTGAAGGAAACAGGATGAATAAACATAGCTAAATATTAACAGGTCTTGTGATGAAGTGTCCTGTCTTCACAGCAGGGATTTCCTCTTGTCTCCTGCTGCCCATGGCCATTTGCTTAATCCTATCAGTCCCCTTTCTGCTGACAGCCAAGTTGCAATTCCAATAGAAATGGGCTACCATAGCAGGCTAGATGAGTGCAGTTTAGTTTCCATACAATAACCAAAATGGCATTAGGAAGAGTGCTCAGTGTGCAACCATCCACTGCATCAGGTCTCCAGAGCTTCACATAGTGCATCTTTTGACAGTTATGGCACAAGCATATTTGTTTGGCGAACGTCCTTGCAACCCCCCCTTGAGCAGTGGCTATAGACTAACCTCCATTTGAAACACCTCTGTTTTGTGGGAATCGATGTGAGATATGCCTCTGCTTTCCAAGAGGGGGGCACTATCACAAGTGCACATCCTGGTTGTTGGGGAAAACAAAGACTAGGGAGATCTACATCCTGAGCCACTGAATAATCAAGTCTAATCCTATCTTCCAGTGTTAGAAACAGAAGATAGCATGTGAAATACTACATTAATCACCAGTTTTTTGGAGTCAAGGTTCTGTTGACTTCAGCCTTTCTTTCATTTCACTGTTTTGAGGCTCCTGAACACCCAGTGGGACCTGGCTGATGGAGTCTACAGAGCACAGTCTGACAGCGTCCTTAGTGTCACCCCACTCTGCACTGGTGTTTACAGCAGTGCTGATGTTTTGTGTCCAACTCGGAGAGAAACGGAGGATAAGGAGGACTTATAATTGTGATTCTAGCAAGAAGAAGAACTGAAGTTGTACAGGGTGAGTTGTTAGCAATCATCTCTGGTCAGTCAGTTCTGCTGTGCAGACTGGGATTTGAGCTATAGCTCTGAATTTTCTTTGTCTGCCTCTGAGTCATTGCCAAACACTGACAAGAACCTCTGATCTTGATTTGCCACATTAAAAAAGAAGCTGTTTATTCTCTTGGCTCTGTAATGTACTTTGGGATTGACCTAGAAAGTTCATATATGGTAGAGAAAGAATGTTTCATTGCCTAATATTTTTATTTTTTTATTGTGATAAAGTTACCAATCATACAGACACTTGGAAAAAAATATCCATGAGTTGCAGAGATGAATCAGCAGAGCTCGACTGGTATCAATTTACAGGCCTTGACTAGTGATCAAATAAATTAGAATCACTTGCCCCATCACTTCTGATTCATCTAGTATCTTAGTGGGTAGTTATAAAAAATCGCAATTTAAAATATTTATTGTGTCAGTGTTAAATGCATTCTGTATTTTATGTTTGTAGTTTGATTTCAACACAGAGAAGCTCTAAAAAACTTTTGTCTGTTGGTGCTCCCTAGTGGTGAAGTTTGCTTTCAATGAAGCTGCAGGAATTTTGCTAGTGATTGTCCAGTTCGGTATCTCAATTGCTTTTCATGGCTCAGACAGCCTTTTTGGGGGTGTAAAATCATTCACACCTTGCAGGCTTGTGGGATTGTGCTTTCGTGCAGCACAGGGTATTTATGAAGTGAAAAATGGACACTGCAGCAAAGAAAATTTTTTCCTTCCTAAGCTTCTTTCAGTATTGTCCTTAACATTAATGTGCTACATGAAATGTCCTAAATAAGACAAGATATGCCATTCTTGTTTTTCTTCTCATCCTGTGTCTGACAGAAAGCCAGGCTATGTGCAGTGTGTCTGGCTCCATGGCTCTCTCCCCATAGATGTGCCAGCCTGCAGACAAAGCATTTGTGGAAAGGACTTTGATAAATGCCTAACTGGCCTCACTAGTGGGCTGAACTTTATGAACTTGAGAAACATCTGAGAGTGAAGGAAATCCCACAGCACAGGTCAAAACAGCTGTCATATGCCACAGCTCTCCGTCCCAGTCTATGCCTGTCTCCACTTAATATTTCTGATAATGTTAACTGTGGTGCCTGTCTGCTAGCTTGTTCTCCAATTACAAATGGCCCAGACTACTTGTACACCGTGTGGTGTGCCTTTCCTTTGTAATCCTTTAAAAATTTAAAAATTCTTTAGTGACTCCTTGTTTTCCTGATAATAAGAAGTGTAAAAGTAGTGTCTCAGCTAGAAGTTCTAGCTGTCTGCATTACACTGCTGTGAACACTGACTTGCAGCTCACGCCTGTGGTTTGTTTCTACATGGCTTGAAGAAACCAGGCATCTACTCTTTGGGGTCCCAGTGGGGCTGGAGGAGCTGCCCTCAGTGAGCTGAAAGTGATGAGGCTTAGAAGATGCCCCCTGAAGGGTAGAACACAGTATTTTTCAAATAACTTTAGAAATCCCACCCAGCAACAACAATGGAGCCAGTGATGACTATTTTGACTTCCTATGACAAGTTCACACAATGCAATAAGGATCTGTCAGAACATTGGTTTGGTAATTGTATGCTTAAGTTGTGTAACAACAGTTCTTGGCCAAACTCAGAATTTAAAAAAAAAAAAAAAAGAAAAAAAAAAAAGAAAAAAAATGCAAAGGCAACTGGAAAATGAAACTATGCAGAAGCTCTTGAGTTGTTTTTCTTTTTCAAGGGTTATATGACCTTGTATCCCAACAAATTGGAAAATATGTTTTGAGGACTCTGGTGTCTTGACGTGTTTCTGCCAGTATAACAGACAGAAGAGGGATTCAGTGCAACATTACCCTCTGGATGGAATGCATGCTGGTGTTTGGGAGGTTTGGGGTTCTGTTCCATACTTTGATTAATTTTTTAGGGTAAACTAATTCATTGTTTTGTGCTTGTCATTGGTGTGTATTTTCTGCATGGGTGTGTTCTCTCATTTTTCATTTGAATTCTGGCCCTGGCACCTCAGTCATGGAGTTGTGCCCATGTTGCAGGACAGGCTCTAAGCAGTCTTTGTCTGCTGGCAGCACTTCCCAAGGGTCAGTGCCCAGAGTTCACCACCGAGGCAAAAGGCAAAGAGCTGTAAATAACCCCAAATATATTTGGAGTTTTGCTATCTCTGGGAGTCTGACTTTTGTGGAGATGGTGCAACAGCAGACATGGCCTTGGCCTGGATATTTCCTGGTAAAAGCAGTAATGAATTGTGAGCATGAGCTTTTTTATCAAATTCTCACTCTCTTGCCATCAAACTGAGAGCACAGGGGTTGTGCAGCTCTATCAGGCAGCACAGGGAGACCTGCAATGCACTGAGCCACTCCAACCCAATGCAAATGTATTTTGATTCCTCAGCTCATGTTAGGCAGCTGCATTTGTACAAAGAGCTGTTCCTCCACAATTCTTTAGAACATGTCTCTGGGGGTGCAGGTGGAGAGGTTGCTTTTTTTCTGGCTAATCCTGCCCCAGATCGATCTGCTTTCATTAACAAATAACCAATGCAAACAAAATCTCCAACCCTTCATTTCAAAGACTGCAGAAAACCACACGAAGGTCACACCAGTCTGCAAAGTAGGCTGACTTTGCATCTAACTGTCTTACAGTAAGTTAATAATGTAGGGGTTGATTGGGGGTTTTTTATTGGCTTCAGTGTGCAGAGATTATAAGATATATGGAGAAATCTTCTATGGGTTTGTTTCGTTTTTTTTTTTTCCTTTAAGATGTTGAATTACTCTCTCATGTATTTATATGTCTGTACGTACACTTCCAGTGCACTGATTGGTTGGTGTTTTGCTCACTGATGAGTACAAACAGTGTTTTTCTATGTGCAGCACAGTGAAGGAATGAAGAAAGCAATTGTTCTATAGGGTTTCATCCCTTTTCTAAGCTGGCATTGTTGGTGCAAGAATCCAGAACTCAGGTAAGGAAAAAAATCTGTTCTTTTCTTGGTCCTCTGGCAGGACTGCTACTTTCCCTCTCTTCACTTTTACCATATTTTGGATTCGATTATACTTAAATATCTCTGAAAGACTTGTTCATTGGTGAGTTTTTTTGTGTAAAAAAAAGTGCTTCTCACTATGGCAGCTCTGTGAAGACCTATTGCCTTTCTTTATTTGGGGAAGAAGCAATGTTTTGACTTGACGCAATTTCGTTTTTCCAAGGAAGGTGTAAAAATCATAATAGCATGTGTAGCCAAAAACCTAAAATAGAAAATAATTTCAAAATTGATTTCAAACTTCTTGAAATTAAGTGTTTTGGAGTATTGTTTTAAAACAAATACCTTGGTTTTGAAACTTCCTATTGGGTTTTGGTGTTTTTTGAGGTAAACCAAACTATAATGCTCTACCATAACAACCTATCAAATTTAGTGTTGGTTCAATTTCATGATGAGAGGGAGTAACTATTTTGTCTGTAGAATGTTTTTTTTTAAGTTTACTAAGCATTATTACTTCCTGAAGACTGCCTATAACCTTCTATCTCATCAAATAAAGTTTGATTAACCACTGGAGTGAGAAATAGGTTAGATGTTCTGTTTTTACTGCTGGTAGAAAATTCATATGAGCTTTGAATACTGACGGTTTGCAGCTTCAGCAAAAGGGAGGATTCACTACACTAAAACACTTATTTGAAGAGGGCTTATAGGCATATGAAAATGAATTAGCTAAAGGCTAATAGATGGGGTTGCTTAGTCTTATAGTCTTGTTTGTTGTTTTACATGCTTTATAGGAAGAGTTCTTTCATGCTTTTATTTCTAGAAAATATTTTTGAGCAAAGAAGAGCAAGAGCAGGTCTTTAATTTGTCACATTCAAGACGATTTATAAGCAACTTCTAAAACAGAAACCATGCACAGTCATGGTTACTTCTCCTTTTAAATAGGTGGCCAAAAGAGCCATTATGACTTCTGGATCTCAAAGTATGAACTGAATTACTGCTAAATGTGTGATTGCCCCTTTCTAGATGCACTGCTTAGCACCTTTGTGTTGTGAAGCATATAGACTCTGGATATTGGAAAAGACATCTCTGTAAGGATTATGGCATAACTGTGACAGCTTTCTGACTTTTTGTTGCCCCTCCACACACTGTAGATGGACACCTTCACCATGGATAAGGCTCTTCTAATGCACCTGGTCCTGCTGAGCCTCGTGATTGGGAGCAGCCAGGGGTGCTACTGTGAACATTACCCATGGGGGCCATGGTCTGCCTGTTCACAGACCTGCAATTATGGCACACAGACCAGGCACAGGTAGGGCCAAGGCATCTCACTACTTCTTTGTTTCTATTTGTTCTCTGTGAAAATACCAGTTCTGGCAAGGGGGACATGTGTCTGAAGCTCTGATGAGAATAAGAATCATGTTCAAGTGTTTACAAGATAAATAATCATCTTTTAATTGTAAGACTTTGAAGTTAAAAATTATGTGTGTAGAACATTACTGCCCATGGTGGGGGGATTGGAACTAGATCATCTTTAAGATCCCTTCCAACCCAAGCAATTCCATGATTCTATGATACAGTGCTTCCAAACAAGCCAGTACCTGACAGTAAATGTAGTGAGGTGAGTACAGCCAGGTCCTTGAATTCAGCCCCTGCAAGCACACAGGGCTGGCATTCAGTGCCCTGCACTGGGAGCTCTGCCCGGCACAGAACAATGCCATGGGGGGGGTGACCTCCAGCATGATAAGCCTACAGAAACTTCCTCCCTGCACCATTAGTTTTATGACAACAGTTAAAGTCAAACAAAGATTCAGCAGCAGCAGACTGGATGCAGCTCTGTCGTATAATCTAAACTTGTGATAAATCCCCTCTTTTCCTCCTGGCTCTGTCTGTACCTGTCCTCTGGGACGTCTGAAGTGACATGAATCAAAAAGAATTGCTCTTTAAACTTCAGGCGTATTTGGATCTTTCTTGTAATCAACACTCTGCTGAATATTATCTCTCAACGTTTTTAGCTGGGCTCAAATAACTTTGTCAGCCTTCAAACCACAGTTATAGAACACCTACGATCTGTCTATTCTTTCCTAGGATAACTTGTTAAATTTTTTTTTTAGGCAGATAAGAATGGATGAATATTATAGCCAAAACTTCTGTGAGCAGCTGTGCACAAAACAGGAATCTCGTGCATGTAATCAGCAAACGTGTCCTATCAACTGTCAGCTTGGAGACTTTGGCCCTTGGTCAGAATGTGACCCATGCATTAAAAAACAAGTAGGTAGAAAATGTATTATATGGGTTAAATGCAAGAAATTATGCTTAAGAGATCTCCTTGTTTCAACTTTATGACAATTGTTCTGCAAAATGGCAGTTTAAGTTAACAAGCGAAATTGGTTATGAATTATACAGTAGAAGATGGAGGGAATAAGTTAAAATAAGCAGACCAAATCAGAAAGGGGTGATTGAGTAGAGCAAATCCATTTATGAGAACTTGATTCAAAGTTTCCACTGCCATAACTGAAGGTGAGTTTTTCACATAAAGAATAAACTAAGCTGTAAAGTTTGTATGTCTGTTTAAGCAGGAGAACGTCACGGAATCATGGCTTATCCATATCATTCTGTATGTTCTAAAGCAAGAAAAATAGAATTAAATCATCTGTTGAAAACTGTTAGCCAACAAATCCTAAGCCCCAATGGCTGGAAACGCTCAGGCTATATCTTACAGTGATAGCCAGGATCAGTTTGAGATTGCTGTTAAGAAATACAGAGTATCATTCCCCCAACCTTCATAGCATACACAAAATAAACCCCTGGTGGATGTACTTAGTATCTGTGGGACAAAGTCCTAGACAGTGTTTTTTCCACTTGGGCTTTTGCCTGTTGACTGATGGTAGACTTCGAGGTGAGACAGTAAAGAGGGAAGTGAAAAGTCATGTTCAAGTGATTTTGACCTACAGAAACCAAGCCCTGTCAAGTGTAAGGTTATAGAGGGTAGAAGGGAGTGGAGTGTAGATTGTTTGGGGCAGTTATATGGCTGGTGGGTCGGATGTTTGAAACTGACCATGATAGCAGCTCTGAGGTCCAGTGCAGACACAGCCTAGAGCTCTCTGAATGCACCCCAAAGCTTGAGAAATCCATACTTGAAAACCAATCCTGAAAAACCTGTCAGACATCATAAGTGTATCTTTACATGCATACATAACTTTCTGATGCCCATACAGGATGAGACAGCTGTTCTAGATGTGAGATGTGAGCCACCCACATGGGTTCCCGTCTTGCAACTGAGATGGACAGTGTGAGGGCAGAGCAGGGGAAACTGAGAGACTGGGAGACAGGAAGTTTCAAGAGCTGGTAGGGAGCATTTCTCTTAATTGAATTGATTTCAATATCCGCTTAAAGGTCTGAGTGTCTTACCTTGCATGCATATATAAAAACATTAATTTTTACTAGTTTTAAGTATTGATGTAACATATATGCTTCTTCAAGCGAAAGGTGCTTTTTTGGACAATAATTCATTTTCCCCTCCAAACTATAAAGATCATTGCTTGTGATCCTTATAAATAGAAACAATCATCAGAACAGAGGACATGATTTACAAGGTAAGAGTGAAGACTAGTGCAAGCAAGTTCCAGTTGAGGGGGAGGGATAAAGAAATGGAAGCTTAGACAAATAATATGGTGAGTGTTATGGATCTGAAATGAAGTACAAAGAAGCATTCTCTGAAGCTTGAAAGCCTTCTGATATTGCTCCCCATACTCTCCCTTTACATTCACTTAGTTATTGATTCTACATCTTCGTCCATTTTTGTCTTCAGGGTCTGTCTATAGGCAGGGAAGTGACAGAAGTCTGCAAAGACCATGCCTTTCCAGTGGGAAGAATTCTTAGAGGTGGAACTGTTCAGTTACATGCAGACAGGTTTCACCAGAAGTCCCTTGAAGCGGAGCGGAAAACATATCTGAAGTGCTTTGTCTAGAATCCTTCAGCTTTATTGTTCTGTGTGGAGGGTACTGACTTGGGGAAAGAAAACCCAGTGAACTCCAGATTTTGCTACCAGATCTTTTTTAGCAACAGAAATTTTCAGGAAAATAATTTTTGTCCTCCCCAGTTATCCATTGCTCTTCAGACAAGGGACCCCACACGTGGGAACCAAGCCAGCTGGTTAAGGGATACATGTCACTATTCAGACTTTTTACTTCAATAGACATGGTAAAGAACAGGAAAAATCTCTGTAGGCCTGTTCAAACACACTTTCCTACTGTACATATAAAATTGAAGATACAGGGACTGAACTTTTGATTCCTTCAGTGATGAAGACCAGGTTGTCTACCGTTTAATCATGTATGCTCCATCAGGGCTATTGATGCTCTTGGATGTCAGTTCCCTGCCTGCCTTACCTGGAATGCTAGAATATAAGGACAAGAATAACTGATTATTTCCTTCAGGGCTCTGGTTTTCACGATCTTTAGCAGCACTGAGGCATGTGGCTCTGCCTGGAGCTACAGACTCGCTTACACAAACAACCCTGGGTTATTTCTTCTGCCTTGCAGTTTCGTACCCGGACACTCCTGCGACCGTCCCAGTTTGGGGGTCAGACCTGTACCGAGCCGCTGGTGGAGTCCCGCCCATGCTTTCCAGCTAAGCTCTGCAAAATAGTGGAAGTTGATTGCAAGAATAAATTTCAGTGTGAAAGCGGTAATGATAGTCTTCATTGTGTAACTACTGCATTACTAGTCAAAAGATTGGACACTGAGGAAAAAAGATCCAAATAATCCAGATCTTGCACATTCCATGCATAAATTCCAGGGAAGAGGGACCAAAGAGAAAAGCCTGTGTAAGGATTTTATATGGACTGGTAGCAGCTTATGTTTTCAGTTTCTTCTGTAAGTCATTAAAAATGCAATATCCAGTGTGGAATGTCACTATGATTATGACAGCTAGACAGTAGTACTGTTATGATAATATTTCTTTGCAAAGATTTTTCATGTACAAACATACCCATCGTGTTTCTCTGAACACAGATTCTCACTATTTTTATTAGGCTTGTGGCAATTTCTTGTTTGCTTCAATTTAAATATACCTGATTAGCCTCAAAGAAACTTTATCCACACATTCTTTTGCCAAACTTAAAATTAAGCCTTTGCAGGCTTTAAAACAAGGCAAAAACAGCAGAATTGAAACAACTATTTCTTAATTGGAATAATCCAGGCATTATACTGCCCCACTGCTGACATCTCTGGCAAGTTCACACCTTTACTAGGGGAAAAGACAAGACTGCCCTTTTCTGCATTCAGACGTGACTAATCCTTGCTGCTGCTGTTTCTCTGGTGCAGGTCGTTGCATTTCAAAAAGACTGGAATGTAATGGAGAAAATGACTGTGGGGACAACTCCGATGAAAGGAACTGTGGAAGGAAAAAGACTGTGTGCCACCGAAACTATGAGAGCATCCCCGGTGTGCAGTTAATGGGCAGTGGGTAAGCCAACTTTGCTTATTTTTCCATAAGCTTAAGATTAGTATCTCACTAATTTACATAAATAAGATAATTCCCAGCTAGCATGTGAGAGTATTCACTAACAATATACTCTCTCAAATTAAAATTATCAAGAAATTATAAAAATGCAACAAACTCATCAGACTAGGACTTGCCTCCAGTGTTGCTCTGGCACTGCTGGTACAGCAGATGAAGAGCTGTCAGAGAGCACTGCCTCTGAGCAACCCATCCTGTCTCACAGCAGCCAAAATATCGTGTGTGGGAAACTTCCAACCCCTGGATATACTTGCCCATACACTGAGCTAAGTGCTTCAGAAATTTTGAGGATGTTCCTCTAAAGATCTTCTTTGTGTTATATTTCATGATACCAACCCCTTCCAGGCTACTAATTTAAGCAGTATAAACTCTAAATATGGCATGCCTGTCCCAGGTAGTCTTGCATTTTTAGTTGAGTTTTCGTTTCAATGTGCTCCAGTAATATCACTTGTGGTAGAAATGGACAACTGCTTGTTCTTTTTCCCAGACGATTTTTAGGTCTTTCTCTGTTTAAGACTGACTGTCTCATGCTGACATCAGTAGAGTGAGGCAGTGCTGGGAGGTAGTAAACTGCATTGATGATACTGCATTTTCCAGGTGAATTCAAAGTGAATGAGAAGTTCTTGTAGAGGAGTTTCTTTCAAGGCAGTAACACAACCCAGATGCTCATACTCCTACAAAAGCTTCAATACATCTATGTGTCATTAAATGTTTCAAGTCCATACATCTTTCTGGGGTTGTTTAATCTCTGGGAATGATTTTTTATTAGGTTTCACATTATGGCAGGAGAGAGCCGAGGAGAAGTTCTTGGCAACTCATTCAATGGAGGACAATGCACAACAGTGAAGCGCAATGAGACAAGGAAATTGTATCGTGTCCCTGCGAATCTGGAGGCTGTCAGCTTTCAGGTACTCTCAAGCAGCAGCTCCTAGCTGAAAAGCCCTTGCTGTAACCTCAATCCAAGTTATGTGCTCAAGTCTTAGGTAGTACTATGTGTTTTAGGACAAGATTTCTCAACCTGATGGGGCTTGAACATGCCTCAGTTGATGTGTGGAAGTGGGATATGTTTTGTGGCTCTACTCAAGCCTTTCAGATCTGTGTTAACTCACTGAGTCATGTATCAGAGTCAACATGATGGATTTGAGCTTCTCCTGCTTCCTTGTGGCTGTGGATGTGTCTTTGTTCTGACTTGGTACCAAGGACATCATCTAGCCAGAGGATTATTCAAGTCCAAGGCTTATTCTAGCATCACTGCTGTATCCTTGAAGCACAAAAGGCTGCAGCTCCTAACTGTAGCGTCCTTCCTGTCTGCCTTGGGACACAGTTCCTCCCTGAGCCATTTCAACCCCTCAGTCCCACCTGTTCCCTACCCAGCTCTTCCACAGAGCAGCAAATAAAGAAGGTAGACACTGAGTTTGGGAGGCAGGAGGAAAAAACACACGCAGTCTGGAGAGGAGGCTTGTGGGACAGGCCAAGGACAAAATGAACCTGGCTTGTATATCATAAAAAAATCTGGGAACCACTGATTTATTATTTTTTTAATAGAATGATATTTAGAAAATACTTTGAATGACATGTTTGGGTACAACTTCTGGTTGTGTACATACGGGCAGGCCTTGTCTGAAGGTACTGCACTGAGAAGGAGAGAGCACAGGTCAAGGAGAAAAGCTCAACTAATGGATGAAAACTGAACCGCTGGTTTTTGCCACTATTGTGTGGCTTTAGAAATACTCTAACAGGAGTAACTGAACAAAGGACATCTTACTATGCTCCATGGAAACTGCAGTTGAACTGGCCATGACATGTAGACTTTGCCAATAATGGAGAAAAATTACTGTGGGCAGAAATATTCAGAGGGGAAAACCAATCCTTGGTTTGCCCAGGTCTCTTTATAGCTGTGAGGTTCATGAAGTTACTGATGTCCATTTGCAGGACTATTAAGGGTTTATGAATCTCACCTTTGACAGTGCATCTGCATCTTTTAAAATTTAGAGCAGCTTTTGGCATAGAAGTGCCCTTATAGAAGGAGCAGACCTTCTTTTTGGAACTCTGCTATACTTTCATGCGAAAGCATATGACTTGTAAAACAGAAGTGTATTGGGGGAATGGACCACCTCACCTCCAGAGGTCCTTAGCAGTCCTATTAATTAAACCAGTCTAGAGGAGGGGATCCTCATACTATTTTTCATCCTTCAAAATCCCCTAGGGCTTTGCCTGAATTTTGGAAAATAAGTAATTTCTGATCTGATGTTAAAGTTCTCTTGGTGTTTTGCCCAACATCCACACTAAGGTTTACCAACTTGATTAGGTATGTTTGCTCACAGTTCCTCATCACCTGCACTTAAGCCATCATGCAGTGTGAGTGTAACACTCCAAGTATACTCTAAGACTCGTCTGGAAACCTGTTCATTCTTCTAGCTGGGAATTAAGAAGAAAGGTCAGAAAACATCAAGCTAGAAGCCACAAGGCTGGAAAGTAGTCATAGTGTGGACATGACATAAATGTCTGGAATTCTTTCAAAAGTATGTTGAAACACTTGTTGGAAAATATTCCTAAACTTTGGGGCATGGGGGTGGGGAATTCTACCAGAAAGCGTTACATGGTTTGTTGTTGTTGTTGTTGTTGTTGTTGTTATACAAATGCCTACTAGTATGTCTGCTTCTTGTATTCATCTTGCTTATTAGCCTTTCTCAGCCTCATCTTTTGTTTTAAGAACAGTTTCATAGCTTACTTTTGTGTCTCAATCAGACATGTTTTTGCCATTAATAGAAAAACAAAAAGAAATCAAAAATTAATTTCTTAATAGGTTTCTGCTTCAGATTATTATTTGGGCAAATATATTTTGCTTTACTGTATCTCCAGGTAATAGATGAAGAGGATGATGTCTCATCAGACTTCTACAAGGATTTAACTCCCCTGGGTGATATTGCTTCTGCAAGTGGTTCATCCACTCATAGTAATAAAAGGACTTTTAGGATACCAATTTTATTCTCAAAAAAGACACGGGTTCAAGTTACATCATCTTCCTCCTTCAAGAAAGCTATTAAAGCCTCATATGAGAAGGTAATTGAATCTTGCCTTTAGTTTTTCTTTCAACTGATTTCTGTCTGGTCATTTCAGAACTGAGCTACCAAAGGCAACTTTCTTTATCAAGGCATTGGCCCACTAGAATACATTAAAAAGTTCCTCATCTGATGCTATAAGATGTTCTTGTTTGCAACATACCTTCTATAACACAACACGGTTTTCTGGGTTTAGTACAGAAATCATAGGCTTATTATTAGGACAAGAAGGCACAGGCTTAAGCTCTGCCAGGGGAGGTTTAGGTTGGATATTAGAAAGAAGCTCTTTACAGAGAGAGTGATCAGGCATTGGAATGGCCTGCCCAGAGAGGTGGTGGATTCACCATCCCTGGAGGTTTTTAAGATGAGGCTGGATGTGGCACTGAGTGCCATGATGTAGTAATCACAGTGGGGTTGGATCAAGGGTTGGATTTGATGATCTCAGAGGTCTCTTCCAAACCAGTTAATTCTATGATTCTATGATTCCATTTTAAAAAAGCATAGATTTGACATTATCAAACTGGGTAAACTACTCCTTTCCCTATCCTCATTATAGATTAGGAGGGCACAATATCTAACAGTAGCAGACAACTCTAAAAATAAAGGAATAGCACTCATTAAGGTTATACATATGCATGTATTGAATATTAATCTACTTTATCTCTTTATCTGATAACTAACTTGCATATTGGAATCTCATGTTTGCCAATACACACTTGGTCATAAAGATAATTTCAAAAATAACTCACCTACAGAAAAGTTTCTCTCAACAGAAAATATTTTTTTCTAAGGTTCTGCACTTTTAGTGCAAGTGAATACCATGGGGTATAAAATGATATACTTCTATAGTTTAATGGCTTTAAAGGATGTGTTATGGGAAAGGTGATAGGACTGAGCAAAACTAAGGACTGTTGAAACCCAGGAGTTCTAATGCAATTCGAAGGGGGGGGGGGGGGAGAAGGGTGAGGAATTTAATTTTATTAATGGATGGTTGTAGATAGATATGCATTTATGTATGTTTGAGAGACCTAAAAAAAAAAAAAATTGTAATACTTTCCCACATAGTGAAAATAGAAGTTTACACTGATAACTTAAAAGGAAGGTGAACTTACCTGGGCTTTGGGAAGTCATATTCAGACCTATATGTTAAGCTGTGTGTATAAAAGTTTCACCTGAGCGTTCCAGGGTCTTTAGAAGGCCCTAGGCACTTATGCCTTTTTCCATATTGAGATGGAAGAAATATGAAAAGTTCATGATTTTTAAGTTTATGTTTGTTTACCAGAAACTTTCTTTGGCTAAGTTGACTGGCCCTCCAGTATACCTTCCTGATTTCTATCCCTTTAATCATAGAATCATAACATGATAGAATAGCTTGGGTTGCAAAGCACCTTTAAAGGCCATCTAGTCCAACCACCCTGCAATTGGCAGGGACACCTTCAACTAGACCAGGCTGATCAGTGCCCCGTCCAACTTGGCCTTGGATGTTTCCAGGGATGGGGAATCCACCATCTCTCAGGGCAATCTGAACTAGTGTTTCATCCTAATCCTAAAAGAATTCATCTTTATATCCAGTCTGAATCTACCATCTTGAAACCATTACCCCTTGTCCTACCACTGCAGGCCCTGCTCAAAGGTCTCTCCCCATAATTTTTATAAACTTCCCTTAAGCACCAAAAGCTCACAGTGAGGTTTCCCTGAAGACCTTCAAACTGAATAACCCCAACTCTTTCATTCTGTGCTTATTAGAGAGGTTCTCCAGCCCTCTAATCATTTTTCTGGCTCTCCTCTGGACCAACTCCAACAGGTCCATGTCTTTCCTGTGCTAAAGAACCCAGAGCTGGTTGCAGAGCTCCAAGTGAGGTCACAAAAGGGAAGAGTAAAGGGACAGAATCATCTCCTTTGACTTTCTGGCCACGCTGCTTCGGATGCAGCTCAGAACACATTTGGCTTTCTGGGCTGTGACTGCACGTTCCCAGCTCATGTTCAACCTTTCATGTACCAGCACCCCTAAGTCCTTCTTGGCAGAGCTTCTCTTAATGAGTTCTTCTCCTAGTCTGTATTCATGTCTGGGATTGCCCAGTTTGCATGCAAGTGCATGGTAAAACTAACTAAGAATTTAGAATCAATATTTGCCAAAGTGATCCGGAATTTTGTGTCATAACTGAAATGTTAGCTGTCATTGCTGAAAGTTTAGAAAGTGTAGTGGAGAAGAACATCATAGTCCAACAGAAGAAGCCATGTATAAATCATCAATTGTATAAAGGGCTTTATAATGAATCTTTCCTATCTGCTATTTGGTCATTTGCTCCACTATCCTGCCCCTCCTTTTTCTCTTGATCTCTTTGCTTTGACCTTCGGCTATCAGTTTCCTTTTTCACTTTAGAAATCCTTTTTTTTTCAGTATTTGCTATTCCTTTCCTTTCTGTTAAGTTCAACTCCTACATAAACAGTCTCTAGCATTGAAAAAATACAATAAGCTCTTTCAAAAGTATATATTTTTCCCTACATGTAAGAGATGTCCCTTCCAACTCAGGATATCCTATGATTCTGTGTTCCTAAAGTTTGAACATTCTCTTTTTACCTCTCATTAACAGCCTGACACTTGAAGTCAATAAGGTCTTTAACCCTACAGTTTAGTTTTAGTAGACTGATAAGTAGAACTTTGTAACAGTGAGTTAGGATCCAAAATACCCACTTCCAGTTTAGTTGCAAGCAACCATAGATGATTATAAGGTGAAGCCTTTCCTCTGAAACTTGTGGATGTCTTATCAATTGCTAGTGTATTTTTTCTTTCAAAAGAATCCTTTTGGACTGGTAGGTGCTTGGTGAGTCCTATCTTTTTATTGGAATACAAATATTGGAATATTGGCTATATACTCCCACAATGTAAGGAAGCCTTCAAGAACCTCATGGATCTCTTGGAAAATCCAGAGCTAGTTTGTTCAAGGTTAAATTATCATGATATATGGGATTATTTAATTCTTGCAACATATCTCAGGATATATTCTTGGTTCCTCTACTCTTTGCACTTAACTGCCTCTGAAGGCACTAAGACTCTCTTTTTCTTATTTCTAGAATTCCAACTTTATTAGAGTCCATAAAGTAATTTCTGTTGCAAGCTTCACAATGAAAGAGTCAGATCTGCATCTCTCAGACGTTTTTCTAAAAGCACTTAACCACCTGCCCCTGGAGTACAACTATGCTTTATACAGCAGAATATTTGATGACTTTGGCACTCATTACTACACCTCTGGGAAGATAGGTGGTTCCTATGACCTTCTTTACCAGTACAGCTCTGAGGAACTGCAGAACTCGGGTATGTAATCTTTTACAAGAAAATATTTGTTTACCAGTTTTTCTCATCGCTGCTTTTAGGTCTTACACCACATAGTAAGTTCTTCAACAGCAAGAAATTCTTTAGACTCTCACAGGCACAGGAATTACTCACCCTACCTATATACAGAGCAAGAGGAAATTTTTGCTCTACACTGTCTTAATTTGAAAAGTTCAAGAGATTCTTTATCTGGTAAATGTCAGTGTGTTCAGGGAAACCACTTAAGACATTCAAATCAAGAGCAGGTATCACCAGGAAAAGGTGTTCCAGCATACAGTAGTGTGGGACTAAGAGGTCTAAGTGGTACTTTTTGAGGTACAGTTATTAAAGTTTATGGTATGGATTAGAAATTACTCTAAAATTTTCCCATGACTGGCAGACAGTCAAAATGAAAAGACAATATGACAGAAATGGAAATCTAAGGTTAAAAGCTGTGAAGTTTAATGTCACTCCTGTAACTTGCATGGACAGGGGAAGGTAATCATGAGTCAGTCCAACAGTCTTTGTACCTGGGGAAGCAGTTGTCTGCAGCAATGAAGTTTCCAGTGATGGGTGAGGAGCAAGGAAACCTGCTGGATCACCTTGATGTGGCAACTTTGGGGGCAGGGTGCCTACCCAGTATCATGGTTATGGTGATGAAGCTGCTGCTCTGTTATTTTTAGGCCTGTCAGTTGATGAATCGACAGAGTGTGTCCGAACAGAAACAACAACGCGTGTGTTGTTCTGGAAGAAAAAGAAAGTCAATACCAGATGCACCACAAACAGGATGACTGTGACACATGAAGGTGACCATGATGAGAACAGGGAACATGTCCTGTTACTTACCCTGAGAGTAAAATTCCCCTCAGCTGCTCCAGGTGACCTCACAGCTTTGCTGAGCTATGGATGCTCTTCCACCACTGTCAGAAGAGCCAGTGTTTCACTGTCTGCATCTGATGCAAGCACTGAAATCATCACCTTAACTGTAGATGAAACTTCGATGTAGGAGCACTCTTCCTCTGCTCTGGAACACCATCACGGGGGATCCGGTGGCACTGACTCTGCAGTCAGTCATGGATCTGACAAACATTCCTCATGGCCTTGGGTCCAGGGCCAGGCATTCTAAACTGAAACATAAACACTCATTGAGAGAGTTGGACATCAATAACACAATACCTGACTTTACCCTCCCACCTTCCTCATGCCAAGCAGACCATCTAGGTACAGGCGTGACAGAAATGTGTCTGAGAAACTGCAGAAATCTGGTGCATTTTCCACAAGAATGGCAAGAGTCATGTTCTGCATCACTAGGAATAGGGATTTCATCACCTCCACCATATTTTTGTTCTCATTAGTTGATCAGTTTCTGTTACTTGTGTGTTTATAGCTGGGACTAAATATCCTACCTTGCAGTGTGTTCTAGAGGGGGCATTTTCCCCGACTGTCTTATGCAGTTCTGAATATCTCCACAGCTCATGTCTCAAACACATTTGGAATATTATCACAGTCTGCTGTCATAGTGTCATAGTGTGGATTGTTTTTTGGAGCTTAGACTTCATTTTTCCAAGGGTAGCTTCAAAAAATAAATCTTACTGTATTTTTTTATATACTTTTACACTTTTTCTTAGAACTCTGTTGTTATGTCCACTGTCTTTGGAGGCCATTGTCTGAAAATACTGTGATTAAATCCCATTTCAGGTTCCATTTTGGAATCATCAGAACGGTCAATCTCCCTGGTAAAAGGTGGCAGGTCAGAGTATGCAGCAGCTCTGGCCTGGGAGAAAAAGGGGGCTTTTCCAGGACACACAATCTTCACAAACTGGCTGGAATCAACAAAGGACAACCCAGTGGTGATTGACTTTGAGGTAAGAGAAGAATAAGAAAAACACTGAGATAGCAATGACTCACGAGTTAGCAGCTCTTCAGAGAGCTCTGCACTGCTTTTTCTTGTAGATAAGGATGATGCTGTGTGTGGTATGAATGCAGATACATACAGGATTAAGGTTATTTATTAGGACTACTTGTTCAGGTTTATAAGCCACTGTCCTGGTTTTGACCCTGGTCAGATTTTAAACAATTACTGAAAACTGCTTTCCCCCATCCTCTCCACTTTCGTTCTTTTCTGAGTTGAGGGGGGAAAAAAAGACAGTCAGAGAATTCCTGAGTAGAAATAAGAACTGGGAGATTCACCCACTAATTAATTCTCACAGGCAAACAGACTCGAAGTGAAGAGAACTTAAATTTATTGCTAACAAACTTAAACTGAAAACTAAATTATTGCTAATAGAATAAGAACTAAAGAGTAAAAGAATAAAACAGTCTTAAAACACACCACCTTCCTTCCAACCACTGTTCCTCCATGGTCTCCCTCCTCCCCCCAGCAGCCCAGGAAGATGGGAAAAGGGGGCAAATCACAGCCAGTGGCTGCTTCTACCACTGTTAAAATCCATCTCTTAGACAGGAACTCTTCCCACTTCACTGTCCTGGGGGGTCACTCTTCCATCGGGTGCATCTGTTGGTCTTCCCTATGGGCTGCGAGGGGACATCCTGCTTCACCACAGTCCTCACCACAGTTACAGGGGGTAATGGTTTTCAGTCCTTCTCCTGCTCCTGTGGGGTCCCTCCCCAGGGGAGACAGTCCTTGATAGACCTCTCCAGAGTGGGTCCATCCCTTGGGCAACATTTCTTCCATAATCTACTGTCTCTTGGGTCACAAAAATCAGCGTAGATCCCCCATAGGCCCACAAGTCCTACCCGGGACAACTTGTTTCAGCACAGGTTTCTCTTTCCATGGGCCACAGGTCTCCAGCAAGACTCTGTTTCATCTTAGGCCTCCCAAGGAGTTATAGTCTCCTCATGCACTTTTCTGCTCTGGCATGGGCTCCTTCATGAGGAGCTTCACTCCCCAACAGTCTTCCATAGGTGACAGGGGTCTTGGCTTTCAGTCTTTCCCCTGCTGGAGGGAGAGAAAGAGAGGCCTTCTTGGCCCTCTCCTTCCCCCTCCTGCTACACTGACCTTAAAGTCTACATTACTATCTCATGTTCTCCTCTGCTCTCCTCTCCAGGTGGAATTTCTTCTGCACCACAAATCATCTCTTCCTCTGTTCTTAAATATGTTATCACAAAAGCAAATATCATTGGCTAGTAGTAGGAAGTCCATCCTGGAGCCTGGCTATCATTGGCTTTTTCATAGAACAGCAAAAGCTTCTAGTAACTTCTAATTAAGATCATCTCTGTGGCCCCCTATTACCAAAAATTCAGTCACATGAACCCATGACAGCCACACCAGGTTTGCATGGTCCATGGACAGTGGGAATAAGACCTAGGAGCATGAATTGATTGCTCTGGTACCAGCAGGGTGGCATGAGCAGGCGTTAGTTACTGTGCGGGAAAACAGTGCATGCTGCTGGAAATGCTTTTTTCCCCTGTGATCATTCCCTTGTCAGACCCATGTTGTGCAACATATCAAATAGGTGAACTGAAACAAAACAGCAGTCCCCTGTGTCTCTGTCCTGCTCATTCAACCTAGCATGCCAGTGCTGCTGTGAGTGCACTGAGCTGTCTCCCTCCCCGGCTGTCACAGCAGCCCCTCAGCTGCAGAGGCAAAGCAGTTGAGGTGAAAATTAAAACCTGCCTGAATGCAGCATGCAGTGAGGTTTCTCCCGTTGCATCTGCTGAGTTCCTGAAGGCTGTATAGGGAAGTCTGACAGGGCAGACTCTTGGTGTAAGCCAACCCCTATCATCTATAGTGTCCTGAATTTTAAGACGTAATATCACAGAATATGCGGAGTTGGAAGGGATCCAGAAGAATCATTGAGTCATGCACAGTACTGTCCCTAAGAGTCACACCATCTGCCTGAGAGTATCGTTCAAACTTCTTGAACGCTGTCAGGCTTGGTGCTGTGACCACTTCCCTGGAGAGCCTGTTCCAGTACCCAACCATCCTCTGGGTGAAGAACCTTTTTCTAATATCCAACCTAAACATTTCCTGACACAGCTTCAGACCATTCCCTCAGGTTCTGTCACTGGTCACAAGAAAGAAGAGATCAGTGTCTGCTCCCACCTTCCGCTCATGAGAAAGTTATAACTGCAGTGAGGTCTCCCCTCAACCTCCTCTTCTCCAGGCTGACCTCAGCTGCATCCCACTTGGTTGATTTCCCTCTGGTTCACAGAGCTCTAAACTGGGGGAATAAAAGCAGTATGAATGGGATAATATAGATATATATCATGCTCCTTTAAACCATCCATAACTTTCAACATGTCCAGCTCCTGTGTGATACAGTTATGTAGATAGCGCCTTTAAAATCCTTCTCCTACACCCAGAAGGACCCTACCGTGTTAAGGTAGCTGCTTACTGAACTTGTCTACCAGGTGTCGCCCATTGTGGATCTGGTGAGGAACGTGCCGTGTGCAGTGACCAAACGCCGCAACCTGAGAAGAGCCCTGAGGGAATACGTGGGCAGGTTTGACCCTTGCCAGTGTGCCCCGTGCCCAAACAATGCCAGGCCTGTGCTCTCTGGGACAGAGTGCCTTTGCCTGTGCCAGGCTGGCACCTATGGCCCGAACTGTGAGATACGAGCTCCAGGCTACAAATCAGGTATTTGGGGTGACAGTGCCATAATATAAACATGGTCTTTCTGGCATCCATTTTTCACTGATTAATCTGACAAAACCTTCCCTTACTAAATCCATAGCACTTCTAACCTCGTGCTGATGTCCACAAAGTATAGGAATAAAGGTAGGATTAAAGACGATCAAAGAATCAAACTGAATAAGCACACTTCAAAAGATATCGTAAGACATAAGATTCCGTAGCTACATGATTAAGATAATAGTGAATGAGCTGTTCAGCAATAAGGGTGAAGTTCAGATCAAAGATTATTGATGCAAAAATTAAGAAACCATTCTCAGTTTCCCCTATAGCCTATTATGCTTAAGACCAAATGGCTAATGAAGATAAAAACTGTTGATTATAGTATAGAAGGAAAACTCAGTTGTCATAAGGAGAGGAGACGTAATCATCATCCTGGAGAATTTAAAGAACAGTTTAATGCAAAAACATTTTGTAATTAAATTGGCACTAGTGCCATACCCGTGAGAAACATATGTTTATATTCCAGGACCAAAAGTGGACAAAATGGAAAGTCACTTTGATAACTACAAGTCTCAGTATCCAACCCTGATAAAGAAATATTTTGAAAGAAATAAACAGCTGAAGATACACAGATAGAGATGGATGTAGGAAGCATGTTGCATGCTATAAAGAAAGGGTGTGTACAGATAAAATATCCCAGGGGTTAAGAGAAGACAGTAGTAGTAATGTTTTAATTAACTGGCGTGGGATGTAGATTTGGGGTTCACACATGGTGTTAGAGCTCATATTTATTTAAAAACTCATTAAATTCTGACATGTCTCAGAATGTTGTCAACATCATGAAAACTCACACATCTGGATGTGCAATAGAAGTAAAAAATAAGCTTCTGCTGGGTTTGGATGTTACCTGCAATCAAATCTAGAAAGGTAGATATATTTTAGGTTTTCATGAAGCATTTTGAAATTTGGCTGGCTACCTTCTGGAAAACTTCACACTTTAGATACAATCTACTCCCTTAACAGTAACAATTTTAAATCTTTTGAAAATGGCTATTATGAACTTATCATCATCCCTCTCATATGTGACCTTAAAAGAAATATTGTGTATGGTACAGATCTGCCAAAAGATGGTATTTCTTTTATTTCTTGAAGTTGCTGTAGATGGCAGATGGGGTTGCTGGTCTGAGTGGACTCCATGTGATGCTTCCTTCAAAACAAGAAGGACCCGGGAATGTAATAACCCCTCCCCAATGAATGGTGGGAAGCCGTGTGAAGGAGAGAGGGAAGAAGTGGAGGACTGTTATGTCTCTGTGTTCACAGACACGTAAGAAAATAGTAGATCAAAAGAACTCCATAGTCATGGGACAGTTAAGGAGCCCTCCAGAGTAGCTCTGTGACTATCAAGGAGAAATAGCAGACCACACTCTTCTCTGAACTCTTGTGGTGGAGCAGAGAGAAGGAAAAGTCTGAAAATCTCTGCAACTTGATCCAAATTTGGTTTTATTAATTGTTTATTCCTAGAAAATTGCTGATCAGTTGTGTACTGAAGTATGTATGTGGTTCTTGTATGCTGCTTTGCACAGCTTTTTGTCCAAAGTCATCTGTTTTCATTCACGGAAGTTCACAGTTTCCATTTTTTTACTATCACATCCTCTTCTCTTAGCCATTTATATCTGAACACAGTCTCAGAATTCCAATGAAGCCACCAAGCTTTTCGTATTCTCACTTTAAGTATGCCTGATGTATTGGTTTTACACGGTTTCAGCTTCAAATTCTAGCCCCAGATTTGCTCAAGTTTTTTCATTTTCAAGTGCAAGGCTTCAGTTTTTCTGCTAGGACCAAGAGCTGAAGCAAGATTTTCACTATCCCTGCTGCAGTGACTGCAGAGTAGATTCCAAAGTGAATAGGAGAGGATTACAAGCAATGGGTTTCACAGTTCTTCGTTATTCATCTCAGTTAGACACCATGGGCTGTACACCTCCATGCTGACAGGGACCAGCCTCCTTTAACCACTGCCTGGTGGCAACGGAATTACAGGGACTGCTTGGAGGCTTCCTGTTATTCTGTTCTTTGACTCTTTCTCTTACTTTATAAAAATATTTAGTTAATTATGTTGTTATATGTATTTATTCCTTTTTTAGTGCTCTCACAATCTCCCCCCTGTCAACACCTGCAGTTTTTGTCCACAGTCTTTTATCTAACAGAATAAATTTTTCTCGCTGTGGGGGAGGGGGGACAAGACACACTTGTAGCTCTCCTGACCAACATTCCTGACAGTTTGCCATTAATATTTGGTGACACCAGTGCTTCAGATACATCCTTACAGCACATTTTCCTTTTTTCAGAGGTGCTCCTTGTATAAATGACGATGAAGCTAGAAGAGAAGAGAGTGTCTTAGATGGTGAACCTGAGTCCGGATGCTCCAGGCCAGACCCACCAGAATATGGCTTTATCAGGGTGAGCATGAAAAACAACACAGAAGCAAAGTGTAGTAGTTGTAGAGATGGGAAATTTTACAGCTTCTCTGCCTGATGTCCAAGGTAGCTACTGTGCTTATGAATGTGCTGCTGTGTGCATGGTGTTCTGTGGGACTCTAATCCACTACAGTACATCAGCAGCTGAAGAAAAGTCAAGGTAAAACCCATTTCAAGTGGTCCTTGAATTCTTGTTTTGTAATCACGACATTAGCTAGTGCAACTGGACAAACTCATCATTATATTGGTGAGTAGATGACTCATATTCATTACATCTTATCGGGGCTTTGCCATTGTTTACTTTGACAATTTCCAGTCTCATTACCATAGATTTTTGAGGTACTTTTTGGTTTCTTTTTTCTTTTTCCTTCTTTTTATTTATTTGTTTGTTTGTTTATTTATTTATTTATTTATTTTTAATTGGTAGAATGAAAAGAACCAGTACGCTGTGGGGGAAGAAGTTGAAATTGCCTGTGTGAGTGGTTATAGCCTCACTGGCTACCAATACCTTCGGTGTCTGTCAGATCAAACCTGGACACAGGAACATGTTGAATGCCAACGTAAGAAAGGAGACTAATTTAGCCCAGTAACAAAATAGAAGTAGAAGAAAAAGACGTGAAAAAGATTTTAATATGGGTTTTAACAAAAGAATCTGTAATGATATCTGAAAAGATAGAATTTCAAGAAGGTATTCTGTGTAGAGATGGCAAAAACATACTGAGTCACTACATCACTCGTCTTTCAATTCAGAAGTGTTATTATTATGTGCTTTGTAAGGATATTGTAATAGCCAGTGCATTAGAGAACTCTCAGGTGGATGCTGTGAGGTCCTTCTCTTGTCTAGTTTTAAATATCTTTAACGAAAGGACTCACCTTTTGTTTTCAGACTTCAGATATCTTTAGGCTGGTACAGTTACGAAGAAGAAACCATTTTAATAGAAATTTTTCTACTTTTTTTTTATATTAAATGGATGATGTGTCTTTAACCATGACCTCCCATGCTGCCTTGAAAGTCTCCACCACAAATCAATGCCTTGAAGTATTTATGGTGCAGTTAAGTTTTAGAGATCAGAATTGGTCTGTGTTTGCTAACAGGAGAGATTTCAGTAGTTTTCTAGAACTTGGTGTGATTTCATTGACTTAGTGTTCATTCTAACATTAAAAAAAATTACTTGAATATGCTTAGGAGCTTTCTATTATCATTCATTTTGTTTAATTTACAAAAGAAAAAAGGTACTGTTAATGCCATTCTTACTATTTTTAAACTGCAAAATTAAATTAAGCACATTGGCATACATCAGAAATATATTGTAATTATTTAGTTATTACTTTAAAAATATTTTAAAGACTGTGACAGTGCACTGAAAATTTCTAGACTTAATTGTGTTAATTTTTTTTTAGTTTTGAATGTCAGTCAAATGTTCAGTGTAATTGTGTCTTTATATGGCTCTTCAGATAAAGCATTATGGCTTGCTGTAAATATTCCACACACCATAAACCCAACAAGAACTATGCCTTTCTTTTTTGTTCATTACAGCCTCAGTATGCCTCAGGCCATCAATATCTGACAGTGTCGCAATTTCCCCATTTAAGCAACAGTACAACATCGGTGACATCATGATGCTGCACTGCCAAGCTGGGTTTGTAGTCACTGGTCTCAAAAGGTATACCTGTGGGGAAGACCTGTCCTGGATACCTCCTATTTCGAAGTCTATTACATGTGAGAAAGGTCAGTATGCCTGCAGATACTTCACTGTTTCTATACTGCTGGTATGAACAGCACCGTTTACTTTAGCTAGCTGGAACTAGAAGGGGTTTAAGACACAGAGTGGCTGTTTTACTTTGTGCCTACTATGGTGACACATAATTTCATCTCCAAACATCTGCACTAAATTTAGAATTTTTGGGTGCAATATACTGTAAACTTTAATAACACAATTGAGACACTGCAACTGTTTTCTTAAAAACCAAACCAAACCAAGCTGTAATAAGAAAGATTTGTGAAAGCAAAGTAGGAAAATGCATTCTATTGAAACTTCAGCTTCTCCTCTTGAACAGGATTTTCCAGTGATTTTGCAAAAAACAGATGGAAATACCTGTAGCATCCCAACCACATGAGCTTTTGAAGAGACAAGTGTAGGATGAATAGAAATAAATCCATTTAACTTTTATGGCAGGAGTGTAAGATATTTCTCTTCCTTTTTTTCTAGTTACAATAGTTCTCACTCTTGTGTTTCAGATATGCAATCTGAAATTAGAGGTATTTGCAATCTAGGACAAAAGCAGGTTGGAAGTCAGTGTGTTTGTATGTCTCCAGAAGAAGACTGTGGGTAAGTTAAGCATTTTCAGAAGAAAAGACAAAGTTTCTGTGATGATAGACCAAGAGGCTGTTATGACATAAAACAGAAAGAGTAGCAAAAGGTAACTGCAAACCAAGACAGCTCTCTGTTCAGATACTAGCTAGCTATTCCTCTATATGCAAATTACAAACCCATTTATAGCCTATGAAATAAGTGAACAATCACAGAATCAAAGAACGGGTCATGGTGAAAGGGGCCACAGTGGGTCATCTGGTTCAACCTCCCTGCTCAGGCAGGGCCATCCCAGAGCACACAGTACAGGATTGCATCCAGAGGGTTCTTGAATATCTCCAGTGAGGGAGACTCCACAGCCTCTCTGGGCAACCTGTTCCAGCGCACAGTCACTTGCACAGTAAAGAAGTTCTTTCTCATGTTCAGGTAGAATTTCCTGTGCATCGGTTTCTGCCCATTGCCTCTTGTCCTATTGCTGGGCACCACCAAGAAGAACCTGGATCCATCCTCTCCGTGCCTCCCTTTAGATACTGACAGACATTGATGAGGTCCCCTCAAAATTTTCTCTTCTTGAGGCTGAATAGGTTCAGCTCCCTCATTAGAGAGTCTTTTCTTGTAAGAGAGATGGTCCTGTCCCTCGATCATCTTTGTTTCTCTCCTCTGCACCCACTCCATGAGCTCCATGTCTCTCTTTAAACTGAGTAGTCCAGAACTGGACACAGCACTCCTGATGTGCCCTCACCAGGTCTCAGTGGGGGGCATGATCCCCTCCCATGACCTACTGGTGATGGTCTTCCTAATGCACACTTAATGTACCTAACTACCTTAAGAAAACAACACACCATAACCTATCCTTTTAATCTACATTGCCATCTGCTACTAGAGTTCCCAACTATTTCTTCTCTTTTCGTTTCTCTTTTTCTCCAATTTCTATATTTCCACTGTCATAACCTTGCACAAGGAGCATGCAAGGATGGAACTTGATGACCTCTAAGGTCCCTTCCAATCCAAGTATTCTATGATTTTATGATTCTCTCTTTGGGAAGTGACCAAGCTCTACAATATTATGTTGCTTGGAAATGAATGCACTTTCTAGGAATGAATCCACTCAGTAACCAAGACCAATATGTAAAGAAAGAAACTACAAGCAGCTTGGCTGTTTTGGCCTGCTTTTGGCCCCAGGATAACTGTGCATTAGAGGCAGACTTGCAGGGATGCATTAACTCATAAAAACCACACCAGAACCAGTGGAAATTTCACATCCTTGTGGAGGTAACAGCATCTCCTTTTTCTTGTACAGGCACATGTCCTTTACCTGTTTGTGGGACAGGACCAAAGCTTCCTCATCTCACAGCACCTGTATCAGGTCCAGGTCCTGCAGTATCTGGGACAGCCTTAGGTCTTTAGATGGATGTCCAGCCTGGCCATGGCTTTGCTGTGTTTCATCCAATGCTGGTGGAGCATTTAGAACCTCAGACTTGTTCCACAGACTGCTAAAATTATTTTTCTTTACTTCCTTTGGGCAGCCACTACTCAGAAGACGTCTGTGTGCTAGATGCTGTTTCTGAACAGAATGTGACCAAGCCCAGCTGTCAGTATTCAGCTGAAATGTGCCTTGGAGAGCAGTCGTTTCATTTCATGCATGTTGGCCCTTGCCGTGGTGATTCTAACCCGGACTGGGCTATTGAAAGAGCAAAGCTCTCTGCAAATAGCTTGAAGAAAATGCCCTGTGGCTATGACACCTGCTATGACTGGGAGGTTTGTCTAGGTATGACTTCCGAATGGTGAGATTCATCCAGCCCTTTGGATCTAAAAGTGAAATGTGCTGACTCTTTCACTGCTCCAAGAATGGCATTTGTAGATGTTGTGGTCCTGGTGGGCACAAGGAGTGTGGAAGTGTAGTCAGTCCTGAGTCCCTGTTAGCAAGTGTTACACTTAAATATGTGCCTTTTCCCTTTACCCACAACTACTATATCATTGTTACTTCCCATGAGAATGACACAAGAGGAACCTGGAGATTAAGGGAACTTCTCTAGGAGAATTAACATTTGAACCTTGAATCACAAAACTGCAGTTGGTAATATCACCCATTCCCTGTGAGACACTAACCATTAGTTTGTACTTAAGGAATTAATTTGGGCCACACCCTCTAAAGCATATAATTAAATTGTGAAATTAAATCATGATACTAGTTCAAAAGCAAGATTGGGGCCACCAGGCTTAATGGGATTTTAATGGTAAAATTTGCAAATACCCATATGTGAAAACCCTGCATAGGAGTTTAAATGAACTAGCTAAGCTCGTCAAACCCCTAAGAGGATTATTTTATAAACATTGTTGTGCAACTTGGCTATTTACTGTGTAACCAGGTGATAAGAGCAGTAGGTTTTCCCGTAAATGTCTGAGGTGCTGGCTGGCTCCACACATCAAGTGCTTGCTGGGAAAAGGCTGAGTGGCAGACACGCTCAATCCTGCACTTGCTTCCAGAGACAACCATGATCCTTATCACACCTGGTCTCCTTAATGATAAATAAAGCAACAGCAGTGTGCAGCAATCCTAAAATCCTGTTTTGAAGATGCAAGATTTCTGCAGCATAGGATTTGAAGCAGGAGGCTGTAAAATTACTGTATGAGATGTTCCTTGTGGTGCTCGAGCAGAGGGTATGACCAGGTGTGTACACTGGGAAACATGCTCTGATGGAGCCTTAAGGCACCTTGTGCTCCTGGGAAAGTGGTTATAATTAAAAAAAAACCATTTAGCTTATTTATTCCAGAGAGTGTAAGAATCCTAGCTCTGTTCCCACTGTGCAAGTGTCTTAAGGCTTCATCCTGCACCAGCAATTCAATGCTTTTCTCTCAAAAGCCTACAGAGGAGCTCTGAACAGAAAAAAATAAGAGGGGAGAAAAATATATTAAATAAAATTAGTTTTCATTGTGATACTCAAGAGATTTGAATTGGACTCCTCACCATCTCCACAGAAGTCCACTTTTCATAAGTATGCACAAACGATTAGGAAATGAAAGTTCTGGTTTTCCTAAGAGTGAGTAGTAGGTATCAACACAGAGGCAGAAGATACTGCATTGCCATGAAATCAGCCAAATGGAAGAAGGCACACATTTCTCATGTTTTAAGAAAGTGAAGGCAGAAACTTAGTTTCCTGCCTAGGGAATTTCTGGGAAAGAATATTAAGAGTCAGAACCTGATTAGATCAGAAATGGGTAATGAAATAACAGCCAGGACGGAGCTTTACCACAGGCCAGCAGCAGGTAGCTTAGCATTCATAAAGGGAGCTTTAATGAAATAGGAGCTGACACAATATGGGCCTTAAGACTCCATTTCATAGCAAGATTGTGTTCAAGGATAATTGGGAACAGAAAGTCAACTTAATATCTTTTTGTTTGGAAGAAAGGTAAGGGAAAGCCAGTGAATAAAAATAGTTAGATCAATTCTGCTTCTGTACGTGCCACTACTGCAAAAATTGCTATTTAAAGCTGATTATCCTTAATACCCTACCATCTCGTGTATGTACCACAGGCTTTTTGTGACTAATATATCAAAAACATCCAATCATATTATTCCCTGTTAGACTTTGAAATGTCTTCAAACTATAAAATTTGGTTTTAGTCATCACAGTTTTTGCTAAATTTCCACAGATTTATTCCCAGAGCCACAGCTCCAGTGCTTCTGCCTGGTGCCTTCTCAGTGTCCCAGAGAAAACATCCACCCTCACTGCGTCCAGATGGAGTCAACAGGGAAGAGGAAGACAGTCAGCCATTGCGTGCTGGGAGCCATGAAGTGTGCAGGCATGAAAGTGAAGGTGCTAGAACATAGTAACTGTCTGGCATGACCTGTTGGCTCTCTGCAGACACCATGATCACCACTTCGAGCACAGGCTGAGCCATCCAGGGAAAAAGCTGGATATGAAGTGACAAATAGATCAAAAACAAAGGATGAGAAAAAAAATAGAGCTCACTTTATCAGATTTTTGGGAGAAGGGTGGCAGTGGCCCTTTTTCCTGTCTGCAAATGATCTAGGGTGTGGGGTATAGGGACTGCTGTCACTCTGTGTTGGCAACTCTGCGGATGTGTAGAGGGAGGCAGGGGACCAGATAGGAAGGCAGAAAAACAAACATTGCCTTTGGTCTCCCATAGTCCTGCATGAAACTTTTCTCTTCCTCAGCCTTTTGTTGCTTTGTCCTTGTGCTTGTGACTGCTGTGCATTCTGGTTGTCTCAGTGGCTGAGTACGTGCTGTACCATCCAGGCAGGCAGACCAGGCACTTCAGCATCACTGCACATTCCTTCTAATGCCAAATGGTGAGGGGGTAACCGGAGGCTACCTGCACAGGCACTCATGGTATAAACTCAAGGAGAAATACAAAATACTGAAAAAACACAATTATGTAATATCTTCAAAACTATGTGATTTTTAATTGAAGGGAGGAGGTGTTTGCTTTTCATGCCTATTTGCTAGGTTTCAGCTTTAGACACAGCTGGGGAATTTTTGTGGTATCCTTTGAGGTGAATTAACTCATATTTGTACTTAAATATAAAAGAAACATTTAATGAACAATGCACTGGGAAGACTCTGACTGCAATACTAGGTTCTGCTTGGAGGGGTTCTACTTGGAGTCTGCAAAGATGCATCACAAGCAGATTGTGTATATACACTTGCACCAGCACCAGTCCTTAGAGCAATTGCATGGAGCACCTCAGCCCAACTGTAAGTCCATCCCCCCATCATTCCTTGATTACAGATCATCACTGCTGAGCAGTTACAATTAGAATTTTCCCTTCAACACCCACAATTTTACAAAACTGAGGAGCGTAAACTTGCTTTGTGAGAAGGAGAAAACAAAAGTCACTTTTTTTTTTTTCTCCAGCAGTCATCGAAACAATGAAAATCAGGCAAAAAGAGCATAGAATTGAATCAGAGAACCACAGAATATGCTGAGTTGGAAGGGACCCACAAGGATCATCACAGTCCAGCTCCTGATCCTGCCCAGAACATCCTAAAAATCACACTATGTGCCTGAGAACATTGTACAAATGCTTCTCTAACTCTGTCAGGCTTGGTGCTGTGACCACTTCTCTGGGGAGCCTGTTCCAGCATCCAACCACTCTCTGAGTGAAGAACCTTTTCCTGATATCTAAACCTCCCCTGGCACAGCTTCATGCTGTTCCCATGGGTCCTGTCACTTGTCACCACAGAGAAGAGATGAGTGCCATCCCCTCCTCTGTCCCTTGTGAGAAAATTGTAGACCACAATGAGGTCTCCCCTCAGTCTCCTGTTCTACAGGATGAACAGACCAAATGCCATCAGCTGCTCCTCATATGGCTTCCCCTCAAGGCCCTTCACCATCTTCATTGCCCCCCTTAGGATGTTTTTTAATATCTTTATGTCTTTCTTATATTGTGGTGCCCAAAACCACACCCAGGACTTGAGGTGAGGCTGCCCCAGTGCAGAGCAGAGCAGGACAATCCCCTTCCTCAACCAGCTGATGATGCTTTGCCTGATGCCTCCCAGGACATGGTTGGTCCCCCTGGCTGCCAGGGCACTGCTGACTCATGTTCAACTTGCCGTCAACCAGGACCCCCAGGTCCCTTTCCACAGTGCTGCTCTCCACAGTCTCATTCTCTAATCTATACACAAATCCAAGACTGTCCTGTCTTCAGTGCAGAATCTGGCACTTACCCTAGTTAAACTTCATAAGGTTGGTGATTGCCTGCTCCTTTGATTTGTCAAGGTCTCTCTGCAGGGCCCCTCCATTTTTTAGGGAATCAACAGCTCTTTCCAGTTTTGTATCATCTACTTTTTATCATCTGTAAATTTAGTATCCCTTCGAGTCCTGCATTCAAGTTGTTTATGAAGATATTGAGGAGCATAGGGCCTAAGATGGAGCCCTGCAGAACCCCAGCAGTGACAGATTTCCAGCCTGATATGGCCCCATTCATTGTAATCCTTTATGCCTGATCCATCAGCCAGTTGCTCACCCGCGATCACGATGCATGAGAAATGTCCATTGGTGAACAGCCTGCCCTGTGTGTGTTGCACCTTGTCAGAGGCTGGGCAGAGTAACCTGGGAGCTGGTAGTGAGCTGGACATGAAATGGTTATTTTTCCCTCTGAAGAAACGTATTTGGAATGTTATCAAGCTTCCTAGAACAGCAGCTAGTTTCAACTAAATGGAGCTGAAGAGAAAGAAGAAATTAATCCTGCAGCTAAATATAATAAAACATTATGCTTTCCTCCTTACAATGTATAGTAAAAATTATTACCAAAACCTGAATACATTTTCCTTTGTAACTCTACAGCTCTTTCCTCCAACTGAAGATCTATAGTAATATGCCAATGATGGTCTAGGAGGGGGTTGCAAATTCATTTGTCTTTAGGTTTTTTGGTTTTTTTTGGTTTGGTTTGGTTTGGTTTGGTTTGGGTTGTTGTTGTTGTTGTTGTTTTGGGGTGGTGTTTTTTTTTGTTTTTGCGTTTTTTTTTTTTAAGTGCCCTTATTTCTTCTTTCTTTATTTCTTCTTTCTGTTTGCATTCTGTGGGGGAAGAATCACTCAGTATGGTTGTGTATGCTTTTCTGCACCAGTAAAAAACAATGACTGTTTCTTGCTCCTGACCCTCTAACCTTAATGCTAGCTTTTCATTCCAGACTCTGATTCTGGTGGGACTGCCTAGCAATGTTTCTGAAAAAAAGAATTTTTTTTCTCTGACACTTCTCCCCATACTAAATTGCCAGATGAAGTTATTTCCTGGTAAACAGAAGGCAGCCAAATGCTCTGTGACTGCCCCTACTTCTCCAGCACCTCCAGTTTCAGAGTGGTTGTGTGCTGTGCTAGCTCTCATATTAACTTTCATTGTTCTCTCTTGCTGGTGGGGGTAACTCCTGTAGTTTCTGTATTACAGTTGAGCATTATGGCACACAATGGAGACATTATCTGCCACTCAGTGAGAAGGTCGTGATTCTGTCATAAACTGAATCCAAAGGAAATCTTCAACATGCTGAAATTAGTGGGAGTTTGGCATCGGTAGGGTCTGGCCTGTGCTTGTGAGGACTTGGGTTTGTTCATGTGCTCTGTTACAGGGGTCCCCAACTCTCACACCAAAGACTGCAGTTCTTTAATGTTTCCTACAACAACTATCTTTTTCTTAGATACAATAATTTTTATTAGCTAATGACAGTTTTCTTGTTCACTGTGGGCAAGGAATGCCATCCTTCCTTCGCCATTGTAAGCTCCAAGCAATGTACCTGGCTTGATGGATCATTGCTTTGGGTCATAAATTATAAGTGGGGAATATAAAGAAAACCTGAAGGGAATCTGTCAGGATAAGCAAGGTCACAGAGACCTTACTAGTTCTCAAGGGACAGCTTTCTTGGTAATGCAGCTTCACTACTGCACAGAAAAACTCCCCATCTATTTGTTCTTGTCATTAGAGAGAAGGCATTATCCAAAATAATGAGCCTTTCCATTGACGCAAATGTCCATACAACATTCCAGCATATCTAATTTTTCACTAGCACAAGAGTATGTGAAATGTATATAGAATACACTTACCACATTGAGACATCTGAGGCATGATTCAATGGCCGAACAACCAACAGCGGCTATTGTGGGCTTCTCACCATGGCTTTTGTATGAACAGTTGTTGTAATGTAGAATGCAAAATGTGAGCAAATATAGAATAGAACTGAACATATACATATATAGTGTCTGTTATAGTGATTATCCTTATGCAACCTCAGAAAGGAGTAAGTAATCCAGAGTTTTCCCCATAAGTTTGAAGTAAAGTCACATATATGGGTTTAAATACCAACGGCCAAACTTTTGCTGTAAGCCACTACTTAGGTGTAGCAATTACTGTTTCTTGTTACAGCTATGAAAACATCTTGTATTCAATGTTTGAGGCCTGATGTCTCTAAATAAAATGCTGTGAGTGGTAATTGTCTATTGATTTAAGAATTTGGTGCGAAACGAGACTATGACTATTAAATGCAAAATTGCTAGATGCAGTAAGCACAGGAGAAGATAGGTACCGGTGTGTTTGCTAGTAACAATTTCCCAGTGAGTGATAAAAGAGACCATCTTAGTCAGATTTTTCCCACTGGGTTCCTTCAGAGCTCACTGCTCTTTGATGCACTCTTGGGTTTGCTCTTCAGGGAGGGCAGGGATGCATCTCCAGCAGCAGTATAAATTGTGGCATTCATGATAGCTCAAGCTCAATGCATTCAGATATGTATTCAGAGGAAGAAGTCCATCATGTTTCTCATCATCCAGAAGTCCTTGAGCAGTAGGTTTTGACTATTTTCTTCAGAAAAGGTGTGCTTCAGCTGTATCTGCAACAGAAGCGACTTTGCTGAGGAAGGATTATGGGATAAAGACGCCACAAATAACACTGTTTATAAACCAAAACCTAACCAAAATAATAACCATACTGCTCAGACGTCTCAATTTCACTGTAAGGGGTCTTTCAACAGGCTCCCAAGGCTGTGTATTCATATGTGAGTAGGTGTGACGATTTCCAGTGCATAAGGATTTTGGCAAACTGATCTTTCTTCCTTGATTACTGGGGGTGAGACTGCCCCTAAAGGTGTATGGCTGCACCCAAGGTAAGCATGTTTCACTGTCCTTTTAATCAGTTGAGGAGAGAAACTGTTCCTTGCAGAATAGAATTTCTGTCTTATTAGTTAGACATCTCAAAATAGGTTGGGTGAGCCATGCCCTTAAAGTGCCTGTCTTCCTCTGTTGACTGTGAAGGGAGCTGGGGCGAGGTAACTAGGGAAAATGCACATACTTACGCTATGGATATATAAAATCCTACTTCTTCTATTTTTAAAAAATTAATATATATATATATATATATTTAAAATATATAAATATATATACTCTTAACATTTAATTTCCAGTACCAGGTTCCAGATCAGTGCCGTTTGTATTGCCATTTTTTTCAGGAATAACTGGCTCCATCCAAAAGGGACCAAAGCTGCTGTGGGACTCAGCACTGTGATAAGTCACAGATGTTGGTTCCCAAAGGGGTGTTAAGGACCAAATGAGGTGCCTGTGCCTCCTTCCCATGGCATGCTCTGTCATCTAGAAACCACCCAGTTATTCACATGCAGGTGGAAGACACAAGGGTGTTTGTATGAGGCACAGCCAACCACTAACAAAACAGGCATTCTGCCCTGCTCATTACCCAGTGAGCCCAGGTGTTCCAGGACCTGCAATAACCAAAACCAGAGCAGACAAGACTTTATTTTAGCTGAACTAATTGTTGCTTTTTAGATTGTCTGATTGCTAAAATTCCCATTTTGTCTTTGGAAGCTATTACTTCCATAACTTGCTAACAGTCTTTCATACAGCATCATCCTTATCTAGAGATGTCATCTACCTGGAGCACATACAGGATGTCAGACATCAGGGCATGAGGGTCACTTGCACACACATGGCCCAGACCATCTTCCCATGGGAATTACCTACCCCATTCATGGCCTAGGAAACATTTCAAGCCCTCAAGGCCATCAGGCCCTGCCCTGCCTAGACATGCTTAGACATGTGGATTCCAGCTTATGA